TCTTTTAAGACCGGTGAGCTGCGATAATCTACCAGACTTTTGTACCCATTTGAGTAACGTCGATCTTTTTCTCATAACCCAGCGTTCTTTGACCCATTTGTCTTTGCATTCAACGTGTTTGTGAAAATGCCTCAATAATGACTGTGCTGTTGCTTATAATTTCTTTACACTCATGCTAACTGCATTTATAATTCTACCCAAAATTGTTTGTGAAATTTCTTCATTATGTGTATATGAATTTCAGTTTGGATGGAGTGATTTGGTGATAAATGATTAAAAAAAAAAAAATTGAACAGAAAGACAACTTTTTTTTCACCCATATGACTAATAGCACTCCTCTGAACATGACAGTGAGCAAATACAATTCAGTTATTTTATTTTTCTGAGAGACCATAATTATTTCTTTTATTTTCTCATTCCTCGATCCAAACAGAGGCTTAGTTTCTCCATGGGAATATGCTTCCATTGTGGCAGATGTTAGATTTATGAAGTATATCAGCTTCATCTTTCCTTTCCTGGGTTTCAAGGGATGCTAACAAAGCAGCTTATTGAATAGTGATAATCCACTCTTGAGTCTTTCTTGTTCCAGCCTAGCTAAGGCAATTTTGCTTTCTGGTGGCTCTTCTTATTGTTGATGTTCAATACTTGAGAGATCATTTTAGGCATTCCATTCCACAATATTCGAGATGTCATGTGCTAATCACATGTCAATTTTCCATCCATTTATGTAACAAATCCTTAACGGAAAGTTCGCATTGATACAAATTGATAGTTGAAAGTGGACAACTGTGATGCTTTTAGAGGGGTTAAAATGATACTAATATATAGTTCAAGTGTAATTTACCCATAAATGAGAGCATAAATAAAAATGCAAAAGGAAATAAATAAGCTGCCCCTAATACCTTGGTAACTAGTAATCATTCACTTTTGTAGGTCATTTGTTTAATCTCTCTCTTCCATTCATTTTCTTAGCCAGAGGCAGATTGATGATAGTGTTCCATTAAACTTGAAATGCTGTCCCTAACTAGGGTTTTATGACTGTGTTGTATATCTATGGTCTGTGCATGAGTTGGGTTTACAGTTATGGTTTTAACTGGAAATTTTATACACTTTAAATTCAAGATCAGAGGATGACCAAGGCTTTCAGAAATGGCATAATGGAGGTGGAACTTTCCACAAGTCAGCGTGTGTTGCTGCAACAGCGCTCATAGAAATTGGTGCCATAGTTCATCCAGAAGCTGTCATTGGTGCAAATGCTCATATTGGATCAGGGGCTATTATTGGACCTGCTGTAACAATTGGTCAATCAACAAAACTAGGGTATGCTTAACTTGTTTATCTTATCTGGATACAGTTTTCTTGTTAACTATGTAATTTTTGTTATTCGATTTTGATTGAACTACTATATTTTCTCCAGGTATAATGTTGCACTCAGTAATTGTGCAATTGGTGATTATTGTGTTATCCACAATGGAGTGTGCATTGGTCAAGATGGTATGGCTGGACTATGTGGAACTTTATTTCCTTTGGTAGATGAGTATTGAACAATGCAGTCAATTCTTTAAGTGACTGTTTATCAACATTATAGATTTCACAATAGACACTGAAGGACACAGTTTTTGTTTCCTTTGGTTTCTTATAGATAAGCATTGCATGCTGCTGCTAATGAAATTCTGTCAGTTTTAAATTCTCGTCTTATAGCTTGGATTCATGTTGTTTCTTTGCAGGATTTGGTTTTTTTCTGGATGAGCATGGCGATATGGTGAAGAAGCCTCAAGTAGGTGATATTTAAATTAGTTCTGATTCAAAGTTACTGTTGTTTTATTGTGGACCTATGGTCCTTTAGCATTCTTATTTTTCACATATAAATATCCAAGAACCTATTATGAAACAAATTATCTTGTAATATTGACAGATATATTGAATGGTTCATCATATTTATATGAAAAAGAATATTGAATGGTCCACATGTTGCATTTTACTGCTTGAGAACTGTAAAATATACAGGTGCCCAAGGCCACTCCTGAAATTTATAGTACTATTTTAATTTGTTAATTCTAGATTGCTACATAGATATTGTTTCACAGGATATAAATCTAAGAGGCTGTTAATGAAGTTCTAGAAATGACAAATTTTCTCAGTCACTTTCAGATCCTGTGTACATACTGGGAATAGTCTTGAATTGTTTCCCACAACATTACTCATCCATGGGTTTCTTGTAAAGGAACGAATAAAGTTGAGTTGAATCATTCTTGAAAGTGATTGCCTTCATTATGGGTAATCATACATTGACAATTGAAAGAACCAATAACCTCTCCTGTCGTCAATAGTGAGAAAATCAGGGAATAGTCACAAACTCCCTGGTAATCCAAGCCAAAAATGATGTCACAACAGGCACCATTGCTCAGATGGGTCATTTTCTTTACTTCAATCGTGTGCAATGTTATACCTTTTTGTAACTAGTACAAGGCTTCATTTTCTTCATTAGATTGTCATTAATAATTAATTGATGATGAGAGCTCAATCATATATCTATTACAGAGCATTAACCAAAAAGCATAAAATTTGTAGGTCGTGCATTGAAACATGTCATTTTTTAAAACAACTAGACACTATTGACACTGGGGGATGCACGTGTCCATCACTTAGACTCACACAAAGCATATTGCTAGTTTGAATAAAAAAACATAGGATTCCATTTTGACATAAAAATAATGTGGAGTTTATACCTATCAAATATCAATCCTTCCTCATTTTGGATTTTTAATTTTAGGAATTCTGAAGCTCAAAACTTCCAATTTATTTATGAATAGAGCTTTCGAGAATAGATACTAGACTTCTTGTTCACAATTCTATTCCAATATGTAGAATGTAGGAAATGACTTACTATTTTGATATAATACTCTAATTGAATTTATAATGTAAAAAATCTCATGTACGCATGTAAAAATATATATACTAATTCATTAATGTCATGTAACGGCCATGCTATGTCCTGATTTTTATTAAAGTTGTCTGTATTTGCGCTTCTTAGGATATTTACATTTTCCAAGATACATGAATAGCAAAATGGGATTAAATAATTGTCCAAGAACTTGCTTTGTATTCAATTATCTACACTTCTTTGCGAAAAAAAATATTTCTATCCCAGTCTTTTAACAATAGCCAAATAGGGTTGCATCTTATATCTAGTCCAGTTTACAGATTTTTCCCCCTTCCCTTATCTAGATCTTGAAAGCACTGATAGGGCACCATGTGGAGATAGGTGCAAGTACATGCATTGACAGGGGCAGGTGAGATTTCTGTTGCCTTCAATTCTGTCTCATGTGGTTGCCATAAATCCTAAATTTTGATGCACTCGAAAGACTAACTGTGCCACATATTTGGTTATGCAGTTGGAGAGACACTACAATAGGGGATCATACAAAGATAGATAATTTAGTTCAGGTGTGATTTAGTTTCCTAGATTTCTTATTAACTTGTTCTTGAATTTGAAACTGACAGTGCACTTCACTTTGCAGATAGGTCACAATGTGGTTATCGGGAAATATTGTATGCTTTGTGGACAAGCTGGGATTGCTGGTTCAGTGACGTATGTAACTTGATGTTTATTTGTACTAATCCATAAATTTAATTAGCTTGTACTCTCTATGCACCAATGTTTTGATTGTGCTTTTACTTTCATTTTAAGGATTTGGTTTAGCTTCCAAAGTTCCTATGATTCATAATTTGGTTTTGTACTCTTTAGGATGGGTGACTATGTTACTTTAGGTGGACGGGTAGCAGTTCGTGATCATGTCTCTATTGGTTCAAAGGTATATTTACTGGATTAGTTGACAAAAGCAGTGCCCCTACAGATTTAGTTCTGATTTTCCCTGTTTCAGAGCTTTTTAATTAGTCTTCTATTGTTTCACCTATAATTTCAATTAATTAACAGAATCTGTTGAATTAACTTTTCCTTCATGCCTAATTTGTTGTAGCTGCAAATTTTTTATTCTTTAGATAGTACCTGTGATTCTTATTAAGACAAAGATAGTGTTGGCCATTACTTATTAGCATGACTGGAATAAGGGTTCATTGTGTTGTGTATGCTTTATGTGGACTTTGTTCATACCCATATTGCATTCAACGAAAACTCTAAACTTGTATACTGACCAGGATGGTTCTTGGCCAACAAATATTATGGCCTCTAACAAATAATGATTGATTTGCCCCGAAATAGACAATTTCGTAGGACAGCAGGTATAAACACCACATGTAATATCGTTATTGTAATGCCTGTTCTGTCATGCTCCTCGTACATGAGTAGAACATCCTGATAACATGGTCTGACAACACAGTTTTATACTTCTTCAAAGATGAGGCCAGGATATAGTTAAATTCTCTCAAGTGTGCCCTTGACTATTCTGAAGAGAATACATAGAGCTATAGAACATTCATATTTTGTTAGCCAATTAACTGTTGATATCTGTGCATACTAAATTATAACTTTCCTCAGAATGCACGCTGACAATCATGTACGACTGTCATATTTACAAGTTGATTATAACCACTTTAATGAAGTTGAATCAAAATAGTTGATTACATCTGGGACTGCAGGTACGGCTAGCAGGTAATAGCTGCGTTACCAAGGACATCAATGAGCCTGGAGATTATGGTGGCTTTCCTGCTGTAAGTATATATACATGTTACTTTTGCATATAATGATGTCTTATCAGAATTAGTTGAGTACATCTGCCAAAATTTTGGTGTTGGCTTACCCTTGGGGCTAAATATCATGATGCCATATCGACATTTAAATGATCTTTCCTGCAGGTTCCAATTCGTGAATGGCAAAGACAAGTTGCTATCCACCACCGGACATTGAAGTAGAAAGAGAATTACTTGGAAGATAACAAAGATGAAGTTAAGGGTTTAACTTGTATGGAATGTTGCTGATTTTTATATGCTGTTGTGAGGTTGTAGGTTTAGTGCAATCACCTACTGATGAACACAAAAAGTTGATACAAGAAAATTTTGTTGATGTGTAACCCATTAGACAGTTCAATCATGCTTAGATTGAATTATACAATATTTAAACAAATCGATGATATTTGATTAACAATCTGTATCTCTTGTATGTTTTGTGGATAATTTAAAATACATGACTGCCGGACAACCAAGAAGCATAGTCCGCTTTTCCAATTGATAGGATCAATTTATGGAGAAGCCATCTATGAATTTAGGGGTTGTTTGGGATGACCTAAATAAGCCATCTATGAATTTAGGGGTTGTTTGGGATGACCTAAATAAGTGTACTTTTTGTCTTTTTACGAAAAGATGTGCAGAAAAGTAGAGAGGTGATGTGATGAAAAAAAAGATAAAAAGATAGATTATTTGGGACTTCCCAAACTTAGACTTAGTACAAAGAATAGATTAGGTCATACATCAGTCAATCTAAAGGTTGGTTTGGGGTGTCCTAAAAAAGTGTACTTTTTGTCTTTTTACGAAAAGATGTGTAGAAAAGTAGAGAGGTGATGTGATGGAAAAAAGATAAAAAGATAAAAAGATGGATTATATAATAGATCCCAAACTAGGCCTAACACTAATAGTCTATATATTGGTGAATGATGGTAGCAAAGTTCAAAATTCTGGCTAAAACGATACGATACATAACAGCCTAATATTTCCTACAATATCTGTTATACTATGGTATTTACAAGAATTCAAACATTACAAAAAATGACTAATCTATGGGGGAAAAAAAAGAGTCAACATCTTTGCTATAGTCCTTTGTTATCTTGTACCCTTCTTCGTCGACTTCTTGGAATTGTGACCCAACTTAATCTTCTTCTTCTTCCCCGAAATCTTCCCATCCGAGCCAATTGGTAAATTACCCTGCAAGTTAATCCCGTGATGTTTACTTGTCAGCCCCCACATTCGATACCGGATTTTAGAAACCACAGTCACCTTCAACTCCGCCGTTGCATTCCATACTGCATTCAGTAGTTTCTTCCACACTTGTGCATCAGTATTCACATGATCGAATATTTGGCTTGTCGTGCCCTTCTTTTGGTGGAAAGAAGATATGGTTTTTTGTCCAAGAGCTTCTTCACTGTAATAAAACGTCAGGAAGGTATCATCATGGTAAATATTGGAATCTTGATTAGGGTTTTCAATTTCGAGTTCAAACAAGACCGTGCCACTTTGACTATCCTCGTTTGCCGTTGAATTCGTGTTGGTGTTGTTGGGATTTGGGATGGAGAATTGCACGATGGTGTAGGTTGGTTGTCTGGGGTGAAGACTTAGCCAGAGAAAGAAGATGAGGAGGCCGAAGAGCACGACGACTTGGAAGAGCCAGAAGGTGAAGCTTCTGGTTTCACACATGGTTTTTTAGGAAGAGTGGAGGTTTAAACTGCTTTGTTTTCTCTCAGGTTGGGCAGTAAGGGTCGGAGAAGAGATACTTGTAAAAACTCGTTATTTAAGGCCAAAGAGTCGGGCGAAAAATGGGTGCTTAAGATATGATTTGGTACTAAACAAAGAACATATATGTATGAAAAAGAGATTGAAAACTTAGAAATGGAGGATTGGTAGTGCAGAGTAAAATATAAGGATGTTGTTTTTTCTGAGAAAGTACGGAACATTGTGCTTTTCTTGTTGGGTTCTTATAAACGCGTAATGGGGTTTTTAAAGTTTGTATTGGAATAGGAATATGCTGTGCGGTTAAGTGTGATATAGGTGGAAGCTACCACCCATCTACCTGTGTGTATCCTTTTAGGCCATGTTTGGTTTGTCTAATAAGGTTAGGAATGGATTATTTTTGTGGGTAACCACAATGTCATAGTTGAAGTCAAACTCAGTCGCTTAAATAAGATTAATCCTTGGGATTTTTTTTTTTTTGGGACACTACAACCCTTTTTAATTTCAACCATTTATGTATATGTGAGACTCACTCATATATGTGAGGCTCACACCATCAATGATTGAGATCTAAAAAAAATTATAAAACTCTAAAAAAAAAAAAAAAAAGAGATCTAAATCATTATTATTTTAATAATTGATGTATTAGTGGTATCAACCAAATGATTATCTTAATAATTGATGTATTAGTGAGCATATCCAACGGTAGTAGGCATTTTACCTATCTGAATATTACTATAAAGTATATATTTTATTTTGCCTATCAACTGTTTTATGTTTTTACTCCAACTCTTTATTTTAGCTATTTATCCAAATACTATTAATTTTATAAAATTCCACGTCAACAACAAAGATGGAGGGAAATGATCCTAATGATTGAATACATTTTGCCTAGCGTTGAAGGCTAGCTACATGTAGCTAGTGAAAATGAGTTGAGCCAAAATGCCTAATCATATGCCTAGTGTATTGGAATTGAAAAAAGTGAATCATACTAGGTATTTTAACTAACAAGTATTATATGCCTAGTGCATTGGAGATGCTCTAATCACATGAGTATTAGCAATCTCGCCCAATTTTTACAACTAGAATTGTGTTATTATATATATATAGTTGACTTGTGTGATGTATGGATTAATTTTTTTAACAAAAATATTAAATAAAATTAAGTTAAATTATTTATATATGTTTATATGTAAATTATTTTTAAAAATATTTTACAATCTATGCATTACAAAAAAATAATATTAATTTTATCATAATATAAAATATAACATTAATAAATATATAATAATTTAGTTGAATTATTTATGTAAATATCTATGTGTAAATAAAACTATTTAAAAAAATATATCATTCAGTTAAATTATGAAAGTGTATTTTAAATATGTGTATATACTATAATAAAATAAAATATTAATTTTAATATTAAAAATAGTGAATAAATTAGAAAACAAAAAGTCATTTAAAATTAAAGAATGATTTTAATTATTTATTTTGAAAATTTTGACCATATCGTTCTATAAAAGTATTACTTAAATATATATTATAATTGTCACGACCCGCTCCTCGTACCCAAGGGTTAAGTATCGTGATGGCCAGTAACTGAGGTTACCTACAGCCAATTCTTAAACAAATCAAATAATGCGAGCCGAAGTAATATTTAAATAAGGGTATCAAAATAATCATCGGAGTTTCTATTTTTATTACAAAATATATTGACTAAAAAGGCCGATATTTACATAGAAAATATCATAAAAGTGTTGTGTGTCTATTCCGCAGCCCCGCATCTAAGATTTTCCAAAAGCTATTTCTGAATTGCACTGTTTCCTGAAAATTGGTAAACAACTATAAGCACATGGCAGAGTGAGAAATATTATACCAAGAGTATAAGGGACACGAAATAACCATGGATAGTTAATTAGGCCAAAATATTTAAGATAATTTAGTCGGAACAAATAATCCGTTAAGTAGCAAAACTGAGATTATGTAAATAAATTATTGGTAAACAAATCATTTACGTGGCAGAAAACTGAAATACATAAATTATGTAAATATATAACCATAACCACGATACAAGACAGAACAGAGATCACTGAAGTGATAGTCAGAACAGAGGTACGGATTCAAGAGGTGGCTCGTATGGATTCTAGAGGTGGCTCCCACAATAGTGTAGCACTTAGCTCCGCATAGCACTTTGGTCCGCACAGAACAGAGGTACGGATTCAAGAAGTGGCTCGTACGGATTCTAGAGGTAGCTCCAACAATAGTGTAGCACTTAGTTCCGCACAGCACTTTGCTCCGCACAAAACAGAGGTCAATGGATCCATGACAGACAGAGGGTCACCAAGTAACCAAACAGAAGCCAATAGTTATTTAAGTCCCCCAAGGTGTGGGACTCCTGTGGTGGTATTTACAAAACATAACTGTATATAAGGTCATAATCAAATATTTTTAAAAGAAAAACAAATATATCCATGGGTTTCCTTTTCACAAATAGGGTTCAGAAAATAATTCACGTAACTGAAACCTTTATAAAACATAACTTTTATTAATATACTTATAAAACATAACTTGTGTAAAATAGATTTTGGTAAGTCAAAATATATGTAAAATATATTTTAGTAACTCTAAGTATAATATAACTCACCTTAATTTTAATATCTTATTATTTATTTTCACTATCAAAAACCTTTTCAGCTTCCACTATTTTTTTCCTTCTTTCTATCTTTCTTTTCTTTCTTTCGTTTCTTTTTTTCCTTCCAGCCGAATCACCTCCCTATTTATAGGGAGGTGAACCCAGTCTTTGGCCAACACGTGCCCATTCTCAAATCATTCCGCAGATTCGATTATAATTATATACATTCGTTCTTATTCTTAATAGATATTTAAGATAATTATCATTTGACCCAACATTTTAATATAATTATATAAATAAAATAATTCTTAATTAAATTACATGTAATCATA